GGACACAGAGGCACAGGAGGGACAGGAGGGTGGTGGTGCATGGGGACACAGGACACACAGGCACAGGAGGGTGTGGGGTGCTCGTGGCCATGGGGATGGCACCCACGGGTGCTGTGGGTCCGTGCTGCCCACGGTGGCAGTGCCAGCTTGGTGTTGGTGCCACAGGGAACCTGGAGGGCGAGGGTGGCGCGGCCGAGCGCGCGGTCGAGGACTCTTTCCTGCGCCGATTCATGTATGGCACCTTCCCGGGGCTGTTGGCCGACGAGGTGGTACTGAAACGCCGCGGGAACCTGTTGGTCATCTGTGCCCTCCTGGCACGGGCACTGCCCCCACACAAGATCTACTTCCTCGTGGGCTACACCGAGACCCTCCTGAGCCACTTCTACAAGTGCCCCGTGCGCCTGGAGCTGCAGACGGTGCCAGGCAGAGTGGCCTACAAGTACCTGTAGTGCCTTGGCAATAAACCACCCAGCATGGATTTTTTTTTGGGTGTAGGACTTTGGAGACCCTCAGTGCCACCCCTGGTGTGGTGTCACCAGCCCTGGTGGCTCTGAGTCCTGTCCAGCCTGGCCCTGGGCACTGTCAGGGATGGGGCAGATTTTACCCCACCATGCCCCAAATGGCATGTGGTGCCCCCACCATGTCCTTCTCCCCATGGTGCCCCACATGCCCTGTCTGTTGGGAACCAAGACACAGAGCTCCTTCCTCCCCCATCCATCCCAGTTGAACCAGTCCAGAATCTGAGAAAACAGTTTAAATACAACAGCAGCAGCACTGGGCAGGGGTGGGGAGTGTTGGACGGAGTTGTCAGGGCTCAGCCCTTCCCAGACACAGTGTCCTTGTCCTTCTCCTTGTCCTTGTCCTCCTTCTCGCTGACGTAGGGGTTGGCAAGGACCAGCCCTGCCCCCTGCACTGTGTCCCCTGCTGGCACCCGTGACCTGGGCCCTGTGGGGACAGGGAGGATGGTGCCAGGCTGTCCCTGTGCCCCTGGGGTGGGTCACACGGGGCAGGGCACTGTCCCTGGGGTTGAGGGGACACGAGGTCCTTACCAATGTAGCTGAGGAGGACGGGGAGGAAGATGAGGCCATGGGCCAGTCCCACCAGGGTGATGATGAGGTTGAGGCGGAAGAAGAAGATCTGGATGA